AAAAAAAAAAGGGAGAAGAACAAGCTCAAAATGAGCGCCAGTCCACCTTGATCGATCGATCGATGCGTTTGCGTCACGGTGTATTTTAAGGTATCGATGATTCCGCGCCAAAGCGAGACATTTAGCTTTCCATGGTTCAACATGACTTCAAAACGACAAATCACTCGTGACTAAAGAATTTTATTTCGAGAAAAAAAGAGATGCTTTTTAATCTTTATTATTAATTTAAAAGGAAAGTCGTTTAAGGGTCAACAAAAATTAGATTACGTGCTACTCTAATCGAACCAGATAAAATTACGTAAAAATTGGGCAAAAGTTACGGCTCATCGAACACGAGCTTGACAAATCGTAAAATTGGCCGCATTACCGGAAACGTCAGAAAATATCCCCACGTGGCAGGTGCAACGCCGACGAACCTTGCACCGGCCTGTTGAGCAACTGTCGGCGCGCGTTCTGACACTGGCCGCCCTCCAGTTTTTACCCTTCTGTACCCCAAAGAGTACGCTTGTCAAAGGCAAAGTACACACTCGGTGTGGGGGGGGGAGGGGGGGTACTTGGCAGCCCCGCCGTTGTGTACAGTCGACGTATATCGAAAGAGGAGAGACCGGGAGAGAGCGAGATCACATTGGACGTTGACCCGCGTGGCTCAACTGTTGCTCCCATTCGTGCATCCGGGAGTTCGTCGAAGGGAGACGGCTTAGGGAATTTGATGATAGAACGAGTCTTCCGCTCTTTCTCTCTCTCTTTCTCTCTTTCGAGTGCTCGCATCGTGAGATTAATCCTGAGAAGAACCGCTACCGATAAAATTCGTCCGTGAGACACGCAATCGAGATTGCGTTTTTATCGAATACATTTGTCAAGAGTGAACGACTCTCTCGAGTGGATGAAGTGTCCTCGCGTATGCAAATTTAATAAAAGGGATGATAAAAAAGTTTTCGATGAAGCTGCGGTCTTACGATTGAATTGCGTGACGATGAAGCGTAAAAAATTAATACATCGATCGTTATTGAATTCAAGCTACTTCGCTCCGAAATTTTTACAATTGAAACTTTCTTTACGAAGCGTGATATTCGAAGGGAAAAAGTGAGTTATTTTACAGGGTGTCTACTCCGTGGAAAAACATGGAAAACCTGGAATTCTCAGGGAATTTTTTTGTACCTGAAAAAATCAGGGAATTTTTATGGAATTTTATTGGGACTCGGAAAATTTATTTAAAAATTCTCTCTTTTTTATAATTTTGTTCTTATCTGTAAACAGTCGGTAATCCATCGATAAGCCAAGTTGTGATTTATGTGTTTAAAATATATTATAAATATCTATCTATCTTTATTTATATATTCAATGTCTTAATAAAATATTGGATATGTAGTATTCTTTATTTTAATTTTTTTTTTATAAAAAATAAAAATGTTATGCAAGTTAAAAAATTTTATCTTAACGAAAGTTATCCAATTTTTTTTCAGTACATTCAGTAAATCTAGCACTTGAAACTTAAATGGCTTTGTGTCTTACCTTCGTATGAATGAAAAGCATTAGAAAATGCTTATAATAAAAAAATTATTTTAGGAAATTCAGTAAAAAATCTTTAAAATATTTTCTTTGCCCGGAATTTTGAACAAAAATACTTGTAAGATCAGGGAATTTTTTTACAAGAGAGATTTGAGTAGACACTCTGTATTATATTTTTTGTTTCCACCGTCACGAAAATAATTCTTTCGCCATTCAAAGTCCGAGTTTAAACCGGCTGTTGATTGTCGCCGAGGCTTGGCATAGTGCCATCTGTCAGCCACGATACAACGAGCGATTTTGAATGGCAGTATCGATTTGTACTATAGTTTCACGTTTTCGACATCGGAGATTGACCGACGTTGTTTCGGAGTTAATCCACGTTTCCGATCGAGAAACTTTGTTATCGCATCTTTCATCAACAACACGCGATCATCAATCCGCAGTGTGATCAATATCAGTATTAATTTATCCGTTCACCCTCTCACCCCGAGTGTTTTCCTCAGAATGTCTGACTTGTTTTATCAACTTTCTTTATCCTCCGGTTTATGAATTTATCCTTAATTATGTATATACTATTTCCACTATTTTCTGATGAATGTAAGGCCGTTTTACGATTCTAATGAATCGTAAAATCCGTATCAGATTACGCATTCAAAATTAAACATTGAAGATTAAAGATTGGAATTTGACTAATCAAAACAAAAGAAACTAAAATTTTTTTGGTCAAATTTCAATCTCCAATTGAAAAAATCAGGGAATTTTTATGGAATTTTATTGGGACTCGGAAAATTTATTTAAAAATTCTCTCTTTTTTATAATTTTGTTCTTATCTGTAAACAGTCGGTAATCCATCGATAAGCCAAGTTGTGATTTATGTGTTTAAAATATATTATAAATATCTATCTATCTTTATTTATATATTCAATGTCTTAATTTTTTGTCAAATTTCAATCTCCAATGCAGAGTGTGATACGGGCTTAAGGCACGCATGCGTAGTGTGATACGGGCTTAAAGCCCGTGAAGATTGAGATTGAAGATTCGTGATTGAAATTTGTCCAATTAGGACAAAGAAATTTTAGTTCCTTTTGTTTTATTAGTCAAATTTCAATCTTTAATCTTCAATCTTCGATTTTCAATGCGTAGCCTGATACGGGTTTTAGATTGCCGGCTGCTAGCAGCAACAACAGCAGCTCGAGCAGCAACCTGTCATTGTCGGCTACGACGACGGCGTCCTCTCGACGCCGGCTGGTCGGGACGGTCGGTACGCGGGCGCACTGGCGCCAGCGTCATCTCTCCCACCTCCGGGCGCCTCGTCCTCCCGGCCGGCCTTCTCTCGAAACCACGTCCTTCCTTGGGTGTGGTTCAGAGATTGCCGAGACGTCGTCTCTCCGGTTGAAGTGCGCGTCGCCCTTCTCGTTGCCCATCGTCTCGGCTTCCTCGTCCCGATGTCGACGGCATCCCTCGCGGCCCCGACGACGCTCGTTCCTCCGCGTCCTTCGTGAATCGCGCACCTGGTTGCTGGAAACGGGGACGAGGCGGTGCGGCGAGCGAGCAAAAGGATGTACGGATAAAGAGAAAGGGAGAGAGAGAGAGAGAGAAGGAGAAAGAGAGCGACGAGTGGGGCGAGCCGCACGACGACGTTCAATCGATTCGTCTCGCGCCTCCAGGTTGCGTGCGTGCGGGCGTGCATGTTTGTTCCCCGTAGCAGGGTGCCGAGTCCACCGAGTTCCTAGCGGTACCAGTGGGGCGATGGTTTATCCGGGGAAGGAATCGGTTTACGCGACCGCGTGAAGGAAGTGGAACTGAAAATAGAATCGGAACCGCGGAGAGGTTTTTTGAGCTCTTCCTCCGAGTCGTCTCGCCGGTGATCGCTGAGGCTGGACCTTCCGAGATTCTTCGACGTCTTCTCATCGCCGGAGGAGAATCCTTGTCGCGCGAGTCGCGTTTCGACGAGCGCAACCTGGCGGTGACGAGTGACGGCGCTTTTGACGGGGCTGCAAGTCCGTTTCGATCCAGTAGTGGTGGTGGCAGTGGTGGAGGCGGCGGTGGTTGTGATCGCGATCATCGTGGTGGTGGCTCTACCGCGAACGGGAGAGGTTATGTCGACGCGGATTCGATGACGCTCCTCTGACAGCAGTGGCGGTGACGGTGGGACGGAGCGAGTGAGTTCCATCGATGCGTGTGAACCTTCCCTTCCGCTTCGACACCTTCGTAGGCGAGGACGAGTCGCCTCTTTTTTTTTTTCCCCCCCCTCGCCGATCGAAGCCGCCGCGAGATTTCTCGCCGCTCGTCGAGCTAGTTACATTCGAGACAATGGCGTAGGGGA